TGAGAAAGCTCATGCAGGCACCGAGCTGCCTCAAGCTGCAACAGGGCTCTGTTGCTGGTCAGGAGCCCAACCAAGGTCCGCATGCTGCCCTCGAGCCTACATGAATGAACACCAGAGACCTGTTAGTCATGTGCTCCATTCCCTTTACACTGTCCCCTCAGAGCCCCAGCTGACCCATATCATCCACACAGACCTGATGAAAATTTGCTGTGTCTCAGGGTGCTGCAAGCCTCGACGAAGATTGACCAGAGCCTTCTCTCTCTCCTTTTCCTCTGTACCCCGCTGGGCTAGCCGCAAGAACTCCTGGACCTGAAGCCCAGAACAAAGACAGAACACACAACAGCCAAGAAGCAAGTTCTGAGATCCTCTCTATCCAATTCACCTGGGAGGGCTTCAATATCACACCACCATCCCTAAAACTTGTCATGAATACTAATATAGCTAAATCTTGCAAGGGAGCACACAGGTTGGGAATCAAGAGTGAGTATGAATACCCACCCTACAACATACCCTATAAGGGACCTGAATCCCAGTTTCCTCACATGAAAACGAGAATGACAGTATCTACTCTGCCTTTTTAAAAGGTTATTTCAAAAATGACATTTAAACTCCTCAGCCTGGCAAAACCTACTCCTTCAGCTATTCTCCCCATGTAACCTACACTCCAGCAATACCTGGCATGATGTGATTTGTTTTAATGCTTCCAAGCTTTTGCATGACCAGTCCCTCTAGTCTTCCTTCAACAGACTAAAGAGTTTCTCTTGCCAGGCACAGTGGCACACGCCTATAATTCCAATGGCTCTGGAAGCTGAGATAGGAGAATTGCAAGTTCAAAGCCAGCCTCAGCAACAGTGAGTGGCTAAGCAACTCAGTGAAACTCTGTCTCTAAGTAAAATACAAAATAGGGCTGGAGATATGGTTCAGTTGGTAGAATACTTGTCTCACATGCACAAGGCCCTGGGTTCAAACCCCAGCACCACCAAAAAAAAAAAAAAAGGGTTTCTCTTGAGCGTCATGTTTCCTTCCATTATGATAGGTGGTATCATATCACAACTGTCTCCTTCATTGGTTTGTAAGCCCTTCAAAGAAAATAACTTTTCATCTTTGTGTACCTCAGTGCCCGCCACATTGTCCTGGCATAAAGTAAGCACACAATGAATAAGCAGTATAGGAAAGGTGTTAAGTGATTGGTAAACTATTATATGAAAGCATGCACAATACAAATACAAGCATACCCCCGTGCTTGCTGAATGTAATTTCATTTATTCATTCAATAAAATACTGAACATTTGCTGTATTTCATATACTGTGCAACCATTTGATTTTTTTTCTTTTTCTTCCCTCCAGTACCAGGGATTGAAGCTAGAGCCACTCTACTACTAAGCTACATCCCCAGCCCTTATTATTTATTTTTGAGAAAAGGTCTAAGTTGCCAAGGCTTGCCTTGAATTTATGATCCTCCTACCTCAGCCTCCTAAATCACTGGGATTACAGGCATGCAATTGCACTTGTCTGGCATCTGGGTTTTCAATGATGGCAAATAAGATAGGAGGATTTTTTGAATTTAGAGTCTAGTTGGAGAGTCAATAAACAAGCAAATTAGATAATACGATTAATATTCTGCAAAAAACAAACAGGTTGCCAAAATACCAATGCCAAAAGAGATCCATTTTAGATATTACAGATACAAAGTCCTTGAAACAGGAAAGGAATTGGTATATTATTCCAGGAAACGAAAAGGGGGCAGTGGTTGGGATGAGTAAGATGACACAGGTTGGAGATAGGCAGAGGTGAGACCATGATGGGCTTTGCAGGTCACAGGAAGGATTTTGGTCTCTGTGTTTTTAAAAGACCTACTGCGAGTGGCAAATGTAGAAGTTTTTAGGAGGCTGCTGTAATATCCAGAGATGGTGGTGACAAATACGATGGCGAAGTATGTAAAAAAATTGTTAAGAGGTAAAAACGGTCAGGACTTGACAATGGGATGATGTAGAGAGAAGGGACAATTTATTGTGGAGGATGATGCCCCTATTGCTGGTTCGACCCACTAGATGGAGACGTAGAGTGGATCGCGTTCAGGTAGGAGGCAGACACACTTCAAATACTAGCGAGGCTTGGTGTCCGCAGGAATGGACTATAGCGCGAACCCAGTCCTGCCTGGCCCGCTCACCTCGGCTTCTCCCAGAACCGCGGCCGAAGATTCCCCTCCGGCTTCCTCCGGGTCGTCCTCTCTCAGCAGTCTCTTGCTGACCAGTTGCTGCTCCCTCCGCGCCTTCCGCAGTGCTGGGAACAGAATCGGCTCAGTGGGTGAGAGGCAACGTGGACCCAGACCCCGCGGGTCGGAGCGGAGGATCGCCTCCCGGCATCTCCAAGCGCCACCCTCACACCAGTGCTGCCTCGCCTGCCCACACCTGCCTCCCGCTCCCGCCGGCGGCGCCGTAGCTCTTCCACCCCGCAGGCCATCAACCCAGGGCGGCGGGGCTGTCGGGTCCACATGGTAGAGCTGGGGGATATCCACAAGGAGCTCACTAATCTCAAAACAGCTACACCCGACCGTCCGGAGAAAAATGGCACCAACTGCGCAGCCGCAGCGCAGAGCGGGTGTGGAGGGACGAAGTGAGGGCGGGGCGAAGTGGAGAGGAGGGGTAGGGCCGGGCCGGAATTCCAAAGGAGGGCTGGTTAGCCAAATCTTGCCAGAGAGAGAGCTAGGATTCTAATACTAGTTGCCGACTTCGCTGTCATTGTATTTAATGAGGAGCTGTACTCAACTGCTTGGTCCTGGAGGATGTCTCAGTGATCTAACCTAGCCTTGGGGCATGGCTCAGGCAATCAGAGTATTGTTAGACCAGGACGCAAGAAAAAACCACTGACTCCAATTAAAATCAAATTAAAGCAAGCTTATTATTTCCACCGGCGGGACTGCCTTTTCCTCCCAAAACGGCAGGAACAAGACAGCAGCCCCAGCTTTCCTACAGCCCAGCTTTATAGCCCAGAAAGTTACACAAAAGGGGGGTTACAGATAACAGAACTCTGACAAGCATCACACTAATGGTAGTTTACATTTTTTGCTGGCTCCAACATCAGAATTTATGAAGACCATTAGAGCCTCAGAGAGGGTCGTTGTCTGGCCAGGGAAGGCCAATATTTATGAGGTGTCACTAAAGTTTCAGAGAGGGCTGCTATCTGGTCAGAGAGCCAGGCATGGGTGAGTTCAAGGCAGGGCAGGCATTCCAAGCAGGTTCAGAATTTGCAGTAATTTATAGTAAAGCCGAAATTAGCTTTTCATGGCTTTGTGGTGAGAGGGCTCCCAATTTAATAAAAGATCAGGTTGGGTTTATCAGTATGCCAACAGGATACTCAGAAGGCAATGTGGTCTGAAGCTTCCTTGTTTGGGTTGGGGACAGATGTACAACTACTCCTCAATTAAAAAGCAAGTGTGAGGGGCTCGGGTTATACCTCAGCAGTAGAGCGCTTGCCTCGCACATGTGAAGCACTGGGTTCGATCCTCAGTACCATATAAAGGTAACTATATCTCTATCTATCTATATATGTTATCTATAGATAGATCAAGTGTGAGAGTCAGATGGGATAGTGCATGCCTGTAATCCCAGTGACTCAGGAGCCTGAGGCAGGAAGATCACAATTCAAAGCCAGTCTCAGCAACTTAGTGAGCCCCTGGGTTCAATCCCTGGTACCAAAAAAAAAAAAAAAAAAAAAAAAAAGATTTTCAAGTAGCTATTTCCCTAGAAGTCTAGAAATATGAATGTGTGAGTGCTGTCATAAATGCTTAGACCTTACCGCCATCTGGGACTCTTGTTTTTTTGTTTCTGGGTCCCCCCACCTCCTTGGCAAAACGGGTGATTTACTAATTAATCCTCATTCAACATACTTCCAGCCCTTCCTTCTAGGCACAAGAATTGCCCTGGAAGGAGGGCAGGGAATAGCAAGTTACAAATGGGAAATATTTCTTCTTGGCTGAATGAGAGGCTGAAGTTGCCCTCCAAATGCAGTGGGATTTCCACAAGGGAGTACCCCAAATCTTTACAAATTAGGTTGATTTTATTGAAAGCACTAGGTGCCAGGGTGATCAATCCAAGGCATTTATTAGAGGAAGGTAACTACTGAGTGGGCAGCAGTTTTCTAACCTAATTACAAACTGCAAGAGAAAGATGTTCTACCTATATATGTTCATAACAAGGAAATCAGAGTATGGAGTTTATATGAGAGGTTAAGGAATTTGGCTTAGATTCTGGGCTAGTTTCTTTCAGTGTTTTGGGCAACAACCTAAATAGCTTTACTTGTACCTGGGAATGCTGAAGGCCCTGGCTTGGGTTCAAGCCTTCAGGGGAAAGCATGCAGCTGATCAGAGCCATCAAAGCACTTGGTAGTTCTTGGTTAAGATGAGAGAAAAAGTGAGAGCACCTTGAGAACCCTACAGGAAATTTACATTTAAAATATCTTGTTTTCCAATTTCAGGAGAGGAAACGAGTACTGTGAATAAATGATAGAGCAACTAGGTCAATATGTGTCTGTTAAACACCTGTTTTTTGTTTTTGTTTTTGTGGTGCTGGGCATTGAACCCAGGGCCTTGTGCATGCCGGGCAAGCACTCTACCAACTGAGCTATATCCCCAGCCCTGTTCATTTGTTTTTGGTTTTTGGGTGTTTTGTTTGTATTTTGTTTTATTTTAGATACTGGGTGGGGATTCAGCCCTGGACCCTTTACCACACTGAGCTACATCCCCAACCCTTTTTATTTTGAGACAGGGTTTTGCTAATTTGCTGAGGGTCTCAGTAAATTCCAGAGGCACCTTGCACCTGGCCTATACCCCTTTACTTTTTTTTTTTTTTTTGGTAGATAGAAACAATACCTTTATTTCACTTATTTATTTTTATGTGTGCAGAGGATCGAACCCAGTGCTTCACGCATGCTTGGTAAGCACTCTACTGCTGAGCTACAACCCCAGCCTCCAGATACCTCTACTTTTAATAAAGTTATTAAATAAAGGAATAAATAAGGAGGGAGGAAGAAGAGTTTTTCTTCAGACCAACATCCTTTTCTCAAAGCTAGTTGTACCCTCTTTTTAAAATATTTTTTAGTTGTTGATGGACCTTTATTTTACTCATTTATTTATAGTGCTGAGAATCGAACCCAGTGCCTCACACATGTGAGGCAAGTGCTCTACCACTGAGCCACAACCCCAGACCTAGTTGTACCCTCTTAAGACAACAGAAGAAGTTCACAATCTCTTCCACAAAACATCCAATTAAATATTGATAAACCCACTCTGATTCCCTCTTAAAATTGGAAGCCATCTCGCCACAAAGACATAAAAGCTAATTTCGGCTTTACTATAAATTACTGCAAGTTCTGAACTTGTTTGGAATGTCTGCTCGTGCCTTGAACTCACCCATGCCTGGCTTTCCCTGACCAGATAACAGCCCTCTCTGAAATTTTAGTGAGGCCTCATAAATCTTGGCCTTCCCTGGCCAGAAAATGACCCTCTCTGAGGCTCTAATGACCTTCATAAATTCTGATGTTGGGCCAGCAAAAACATAAACTAGCATTTATGTTATGCTCGTCAGAGTTTTGTTATCTATAACCTTCCCCTTTGTGTACCTTTCTAAAAGCTGGGTTCCAAGAAAGCTGCAGGGCTGTCTTATTCCCATGTTTTTTTGAGGAGAGGCAGTCCGGCTGGTCGAAATAATAAGCTTGCTTTTAATTTGATTTTAATTTAAGTCAGTGGTCTTTTCTTTGCACTCTGGTCTAACAATATCTGAGGAAAATCAAGGATTTGGATTTGGGTGGCCAGAAGATAATATTAACCAAGACTAGAGAAAAGTAAGGAAAACCAATTTGACTGAGTCCCTGGAATGTATACCAGGAAGCAAAGGTGCTGGCTTAAGACTTAAGGCACAGGGGATCATTCGTTCCCCATTCCTGCCAGACAAGCCTGGGGCGCCTGAGTCATTCTTCATTGCTTGGCACCGGGTGTCTAAATGCCTTCTTCCTGGTTCAGCCCCTCTCCCTGCATCAACCTTCACTTGGAATATTTCCTAGAAGGGAAGTGCGTAGGGCTATTGGCAGGAACAGATGTGGTGAAGTGACCAGGGTTCACAGAGGAGGAAACGGAGTGACATCACAGGATTGCCCAAACTCTTGGGGCAAACAGAATAGATAAGCCCATGGGACTGGAAGCCCGAGAGTGCCACCAAAGCCATTTCCAGAGCCCACTCAGGCCATAGAGGCTTTCAGGATTTAATAACCATGGTGAGTTTACAGCCTTGGAGTCGAGCTGGGGGCACCTGAGCTGGGCATCCCTGGGGACTAACTGGGACCTCCCTGACTTTTGCTGTCTCTCCAGGAGAGCGTGCGCTGGTTGTTGCTTTTGCTGCTGCCGGTGCTGGATATCTCTGCAACCACTCCGGATCCCTGCGAGTTGGACGAGGACGACATCCACTGTGCCTGCAACTTTTCGGAACCGCAACCCGACTGGTCCAGCGCCTTTCTGTGTGTAAGTGCGGTTGATGTGGAGATCCGTGGCGGCGGCCGCAGCCTGGAACAATTTCTAGAGCGTGTCGACATCGACGCAGACCCACGGCAGTACATGGACGTGGTCAAGGCTCTACGTTTGCGGAGGCTCACGATTGGAGCTGCACGGGTTCCTGCTCTACTGCTATTCGGCGCCCTGCGTGTGCTAGGGTATTCCCGCCTCAAGGAACTAACTCTAGAGGATCTAGAGGTAACAGGCACCATGCCGCAGCCTGTAGGAATCCAAGGGCCAGGGCTTTCCGTCTTGCGCCTTCGCAATGTGTCCTGGACTACAGGAGGTGCCTGGCTCCCGGAACTGCAGCACTGGCTCAAGCCGGGTCTCAAGGTACTGAATATTGCCCAAACACACCCGCTTGATTTTTCCTGCGACAAAGTCCTCACTTTCTCGGCCCTCACCACCCTAGACCTGTCTGACAATCCTGGACTGGGAAAACGCGGACTGATGGCGACCCTCTGTCCCCACAAGTTCCCCGTCCTCCGGGATCTAGCGCTACGCAACGCTGGAATACAGACGCCCAATGAGGTGTGCTCTGCTCTGGCTACAGCTGGTGTGCAGCCCCACCGCCTAGACCTCAGCCACAACTCGATGCTCGCTACTGCAAAACCTGAGGATCCTGGGTGTGTCTGGCCTAGTGCATTAAACTCCCTGGATCTGTCATTTGCTGGGTTGGAGCAAGTGCCTAAGGGACTGCCGGCAGAGCTTGAGGTACTCAATCTCAGCTGCAATAGGCTAAATAGGAAGCCACGGTCAGACGAATTGCCCAAGGTGAGTAACTTAACACTGGACGGAAATCCCTTCCTGATTCCGGGAACCTCCAATCCCAGTAGCATTGTCCCCTCTGGAGTAGTCCCAGCCTGTGTGCATTCACCCTTGGCGGTGGGGATGTCAGGAACGCTGGCTCTGCTCCAAGGGGCCAGGGGCTTTGCCTAAGGCCCAGAGGAAAAGAATCCATAGACTTAGATCGCCCTGGCTTGGAGGAGCACCATCCCGTCAATCAGCACTTCTGCCTCAGAACCAACCCTCTGCCTCACCTTTATTAAATCTTAAAGGATGGACCGATGTAATTCAACAGACCTTTACTGGGTGTCTGCTATGTTCTGGGCTCAGGGGTGAATGTGGAATCCATCATACTATAACTTTCTTCATCCCTACTCCCTAGAAATCTTGCCTACCCTTCCAAGAACTGCAGGGACAGAAAGAACAGCAAAACATTGCCTGGCTCCGGGAGAAATAATGAATGCTTGTATAGTCAGGACTTTCTGAGCAGATTACTGGAACTTGAGTTAATGGATGTTTAATGGTAAACATATCATGGAAGATACAAAATGTTTTCTTTCCCACACACTGTCCAAAAATCAAAGGTAATAAAACCCAGAGTCAGCTGGGCGGGATAAAACATGCCTATAATCTCAGCAACTCAGGAGGCTGAGGCAGTAGGATCACAAGTTCAAAGCCAGCCTCAGCAATGTAACAGGGCCCTAAGCAACTTAGTGAGATTTTGTCTCAGAATAAAAAACAGAAAGGGCTGGGGATATGTGCCTTGGGTTCAATCCCCAGTACAAAAAAAAAAGTCATTTGCTTCCCTGCTTCCTCCCTCACCACCCCTTCAGGGAAAGGGTAAAAGTGCCTCCCTGTCCTACATAAACTTTGAATTTCATCATTTCAGGGGTTCTCTCCCATAGTGTAAAACTAATTTGTCCCCACAGGTACAGTAGTCTTCACTATGTCACTCCCCAAGTAAAGGATAATTTCTTTTTCCTTTTTTTAAAAATTTGTTCTTTTTAGATGTATATGAGTAAGGGGTAATTTAAGCAGGGGAAATGGATACAAGGTACAATATATCTCTGAATCAGAGATCTGTTTTATTGATACCTAAGTGGATAACCCATTTAGATTGACTCTGATTTGCAAACAAGATAACATATCAGATCCTTCACAATAAACAGAATCAACTCAGAGACCTAGGATATCAGCCATCAAGAAGGGCTGCTTCTTTTGAATCCTTTTCTCATTACAAGGAGGCAGCCTCGTATATCAAAAAGCTAATACCTACTAGATGGAGGGTAAGGAACAGGGGTGGGGGATGCATATAGTTCAGTGCTCCTGTCTGCCTTAGGCCAGTGTCTAGAGCCTCATAGATAAGAATCAGAAAATTAGCATTGGTGGGAGAGTTATAGAGGTCAGCAAAACCAGACTCAAAGAATGGCAAAATACAACTAAATTAGCTGGAAACTCACTGGAGTGTTCCCAAGGGACCATCTACCTGCCTGCTGGGAAGTTTCTAGTATAGAAGAGTTAATCACCCCAAGACATTTTTTTTTTTACATTTGAATAGCTCTGATAATACTTCATGAAATAGTTATAGAGCCCCTGTTCCACTTCAGGCCCCATATTAGGTTGGAATACAGAACAATCATAACATATTTGCCCTCAGGGAATTTTCTCAATTCAGTAAGGGATGTAGACACATAAAAGCTAATTGTGATTCTAGAAGATGGAGAAATCATCTCCACAATGGGAGGAAAGGATTTGAAAAAGATAAAACATGTAATATGTACTTTGTGACATGACTATCAGTTCCTCATGAAGGACATCCCAGGCAAAAATAGGCAGCTTGCTAAAAGGCTCAGAAATCTGAAATCAGATGACCAGAACTGGGAAGTGTACCTGGTTAGGTAGGACTGGAGACCATCTCCAAGGCAGGAAGCAAGCCCTCAGCAGAAACCAACCATGCTGGCCCTTGATCTTGGATTGCTAGTCTCCTGAACTGTGAGAAACAAATACCTGTTGATTAAGTTGCATTTTGTCATGATAGCCTGAGTTGTCTAACAGAAGATTTTCAGGGAAGTCCTCTCAGATAAGGAATATCTGAGTGGAGATCTGGGTGAACTGGAAACCAAGCTTGAGGATAATATGAGGAATATAATTCAGGCAGAAAAAAAATCAAAATGCAAAGACCCTGAGGTCTTTGGGAGTTAAAGGAAAAAGCAAGAATGCCAGTGTGGCTGTATCAAAATAATTAAAGTTGGAGAGGGGTAAGAGATAATATTAGAGAGATATCAGGGACCAGGTCATGTAGGGCCTTGTAAAAAAAAATGCTACTCAAAGTATGGTCCAAGGCAAATTGCTATTACTTTATTCCCATTGTATTTCCAGGGCTTAATATAGTGCCTGACACGTGGTGGGCACTGGAATGCATTAATATCTCCAGCTTCCATCACAATGATCTCCAGCCCTTGTTATTTCTGCACTATAAGAAGTACAAAGGTCAAGGAAAAAATGTGTTTTGCTGGAGATTGAACCCAGATCCTTGCACATACTAGGCAAACATCCACTATGAGCTACACTCCAGACCCTCCCCTTTTTTTCACTGCTGGTGATCAAATCAAGGGCCTCATGCAAGACAATATGGAAAATGAATAACAGGGCTGGGGATGTGGCATGTGTGGGGTGCTGGGTTCAATCCTCAGCACCACATAAAAATAAAATAAAGATGTTGTGTCCACCAAAAACTAAAAAATAAATATTACAAAACTCACTCTCTCTCTCTCTCTCTCTCTCTCTCTCTCTCTCTCTCAAAAAAAAAAGGGAAAAAAAGAATAACAAGGCTGGAGGACTCACACTTTCAGATTTTAAAACTTACCACAAAGCTACAGTAATCTAAATAATGTGGTATTGTCATAAACACAGACATCTAGATAATGGAATAGATTCCTGAAACAAACTGCATCTATAATCAATTTTTGACAAGGGTGTCAAGTCTGTTTAAGGAAGAAAAGACAATTCTTTCACCAAATGGTGCTAAGGAAACTGTATGCCCACATGGAAAAAAAAAAATGTGTTAGCTTTTTGTTGCTGTGATCAAGTTACCTGACAAGAACAACTTAGAAGAGGAAAAGTTTATTTGGGGCTCATGGTTTCAGAGGTTCAGTCTATGGCCTATGGCTCTGGGCCTGAGATGAGGTAGAACATCATGCCAAAAAGGGTGTGGTGAAGGAATGCCAGTTTAACTCATGGCAACCAGGAAGCAGAGAGAAAAATCAAAGTGCAGGGACAAAATAAAAAACCCAAAGTCATGACTCCAGTGACCTACATCCTCTAGCCACATCCAACCTGCCTACAGTTGCCACTCAGTAAGTAGTTCTTTCAAATTATTAATCCACCAAATGGATTCATCCACTGCTTAGGTTATAGCTCTCATAATATAACTGTTTTACCTCTGAACATTCCTGCAGTGTCTATCACATGAGCTTTTGGGGGATAACCCATATCCAAACCATAAAAAGAATGAATGCTCAAGTAGTTCAAAATTATTAAAGACTTAAATGTAAGATCTAAAACACCTAACTCTTAGAATAAAATATAGGGCAAAAACTTTATAATGTTAGGTTCGACAGAGATTTCTTGGCTATGACGACAAAGGTATAGGAAATTTTTTAAAAATAGGCAAACTGGGAACTGGGGCTGGGGATGTGGCTCAAGCGGTAGGGCGCTCGCCTAGCATGCGTGAGGCCCGGGTTCAATCCTCAGCACCACATACAAAACTAAGATGTTGTGTCCGCCAAATACTAAAAAGAAAAAAAAATTTAAAAAAATAGGCAAACTGGACTTCAAGAAAAACCTAAAAATTTGTGCATCAAAAGACATCACCAACAGAGTAAAAAGGCAACATATAGAATGAGAAAACATGTTTGTAAATCATATATCTATCTGATAAGGGATTCATGCCCAGAATATAGAAAGCGCTCCTAAAACTCAACAACAGAAAAACAAATAACCCGTTTCAAAAATGGGCAAAAGACTTAAATAGACATTTCTCCAAAGAAAATATTTATGTGCCAAATAAGCACATAAAAGGTGCTCAACATCACTAATCATTAAGAAAATGCCAATCAAAACTATTGCGAGGGGGTCAGGGTTATGGCTCAGTGGTAGAGCACTTGCCAGGCATGCATGAAGCACTGGGTTCTATCTTTAGCACCACATAAAAATAAACAAATAAAATAAAAGCATTCTGTCCATCTGCAACTACCAATTTTTAAAAATAATAAAAAAAAACACCATAGGCTGAGACAGGAGGATAGATTGGGCCCAGGAGTTTGGGGGTGTGGTACACTACACCAATGGGGCCTCTTTACTAATTATCAGTAGTGGGATTGCACCTGTGAACAGTCATTGCATTTCATCCTGGGAAACATATCAAGACCACATGTCATAAAAACAAAGAAAAAAACAAACCACAAGGAGACATCGCCTCCTACTTATTAGAATGGCAACTATTCAAAAGAAAACAATAAGCCTTGGGAAAAATGTAGAGAAATTAGGACCTTTGGGCACATGTGGGAATGTAAATTGGTACAACTACCATGGAAAACAAATCTTCATGAGTCCAGGGGCTGTGTCACTTGCATTCAGTTTACAAAGTAGTGCTTCCATAAATCATGGCAGGTATTCCATCAATCTTTATTGAATGATTAATTAAATGAGAGCAGTGGGCTTAGGGCTGGGCATTGCTGCGCTGAGGAAAGAAAAAAAAAAACACTGAATAGCATTTTATTACACCAAGGTCCCACAAAAAGGTTTGTCCCCAACTGAGTTTGGACACTAGAAACTATGTATCATGGTTCCAGTCTCAAGGTATCTATATATCTATATATCTATAACATATATCTTAATATTTTTTTCTGGCAATGTTCAGTATCGAAGTAACAGGATTCATTCATCCAATGTCAGGGTTGGGGCACAGGCATCCTCAGTGAAGCCCAAAGACTGAGAGATCTGAAATGATAAAATAATGATGAATAATACACCCTACAGAAGGAAGGAAATGAAGCAAGTAGAGGGAGATGAACTGAGAGAAGCAAGGGCCCCATTTCCACTTGGCATTCTGTGGTCAGATGTTTGTGTGGCGTGATGGATTTTATGCTGAAAGGGCAAAATATGGTCAAAGGACTTCCTTTTTTGAGCCAAAATTGGTTTCCCTGTATCTTCCTCTTTTGTTTCTGCTCTGTCATCTGTATATGTAAAAACTTTACAATGTTTACAACTTGTATATGTAATCAAACATAT